TTATTACTAGCTATAATATAAGTAATTAAGACAGTGGTATTGTTATGGGAAAATACCATTGTTCAGGTCCTATACCTTAATTGTGTTTTATTTTAAATCCCTGTGGCTTATTTTCGTGCTTTCATATCCAATACACAATTTCCAATAAAATACCCATACTCATAATGCAGCGTCCATCCGTCGAGCATGCAGCATGGCTTTTATTATGAAGGCCGTGCCCACTTTTCCAAAGTTACTTGAATCCACTATATCAACTTTAAGACCTCACTTACAACTAATGACCACGTACATAAATAAACGTGCCTTTTATTTCACCACGTCAGAATTACTCCAGATTTTACTCTGCTGTCATTCATGTTTATTTATTTTAGTGTGGGTCTATGAATCAAATATCATCAAAAGCATTTACTTTCACCTAATGATTCCCCATCTTTGTATCATGAAGTAAAAGTTGAAGAAAAAACATAACTGATGTGAATAACTATATTATTATGAGAAGTAACTTACAAGCTTTCTTGAAGGCTTATCAAGTGCTCTTTGGCTTTTTGAAGCCTATCCCTTAATCAAATTTACCGCCATCAATCCCTGTATGTATATATTAGCAAATTTTTGTAAATGTTAACTTTTGCCTCAATTAACTGCAAATGATGGAGACAGTGTTAGAGGCTTAACAATCGACTCATCAATCCGACAACTTTAGTTATGTGCTTGACTGTAACATCGGTTTCTCATTTAGTTCATACATTTTCTTCTTTTTTCAACCCTTTTTTACGTTATTATCATCCATTTTATTTCTGGTTTAGATTGGGCGTAGAAAATATCTTAGCTACTGAATGAATAAGTACAACAATGATCATATCAATAAAAAACATGTGGACAAAAAAGTTCAATAAATACAACACCAAAGCTCATATCTGTTTGCTTATCCCCAGGAAATTTCTAGTCGGTTGAATTAATAGGTTTGTTTGACTATGAAAACTGCTTTTGTACGGTGGAGGAATTTCTAACCGCCTGTTTTGAGTTTTCTCTATGAATTCCTCCTGATATTCACACACATATAGATGCCTTGAAATGTGAAAGCTCATAAGCTTCTCGCAATGTTTAGGCAAAGGTTCATCATTCAGAAGCCTTTATGGTCGTGATTCAGAATCTTTAGATGGTTTGACCATAATGGCTTCATATCAGCAACTTATGCAAGACCTTCATCTTTACAGGCGTACTTGAAATTGTCTACTGATTTAGGTAACAAGTAAGAAAGCAGTAGTTCTCGTGCATCTTCTTAGGAATTTTAAATTGATTTACAAGTTTTCATGACCTAAATTTTGCTTCTTGGATATTATCACGATGCAGGCCATGAAAATGCAAACTTGGTGAGGTAATTAACCATAAATCCATGCTAGTAGAAAATTTTCAATCATTTATATGATGTTGAATAAATCTTTCTAAACTCTACTATCTATTTCATAGAGACTGGTTTCGGTGTTGCCCACGGAGCAATCTAGATCATCTAGATTTAGATATAGATTTTTTTTATTTTATATTTATTAAAGTCAAAATTATAAATTTTAATAGATATACCCTATTAACAATTTGAACAATATAAATTTAATCTAGATGACAGATTTAATATTAAATATTTTTATAATTTTTATAAATTAATTATTCAAATATACTTTGGACAATCTAGATTTAAAATTTTTAATTTGTAACTTTTTTAAATTTTTTTACAATTTCAGTTTAAACATTATTTTTATTTTTTCAATATTATATTTGCTAAAATAAAAATTTATAAAAAAGGGTTTAATATTAAATCCTGAATTTATCTGGATAGTCAATTTATAAAAATTATAAAAAAATTAATATTAATTTAGATTATCCAGATTAAATATGTATTGTGAAGATTGATGATAAGACATATTTATTAAAATTTTCTAAATTTTATAATAAATATAAAATAAAAATATAAAAATAAAATTTTAAAATCTAGTCTAAATTACTCATCATGTGATGAGAACCGAAATCAGGCCCTATTCTGTATAGTTGTAAATAAAGCTAATTTATTTTAATGGAGAATATCAATAAAAAATCTTGAAAGAAACTTAATTTCTTATCTAACAAATAAATATTAACAAATTATTTTCGTTTTATTTTTCTTGTTCTCAAAATACACTTTGATTATTATAAATTACAGTGATCTTGATCAATTCTATCATAAATTACTATCATTGGTTACTTATAACTATTACTATCAGTCTATTTTTTAATTTTAAAATTATTTTTAAATTAATGTAACCAAACATATTTTAATTTTATTTTATTTTGAAAATAATTTTAAAAACTGTATTATAAAACAGAATATTTTTTAAAAAATGAAAAATAAAAATAGAAACAAAACAGGCTCTTAATAAATGAAGTTAATGTTTTAATAAATATGCAATTTGTCCAGGGTCCTTGACGGATATTAAATATTTCCGCAGGTCCTTTACCGATATTCTCTCATTTTGTATTTACATTATATTTTACGTTTAAATGGTGTTTCGTTATTAGTATCAAAAGGAATTAGAACTAACTCAGCTAAAGAACACATTAAGAACGAAAGGTAAATGTAAGTTTACATTGTTTTTGGTAGCCTATCTCTTGTGCATTCCCCTGCATGGATATACGAACACATTTTCTTACATGTCAATTTTATTTGTTATACATGTTACTTTCTTGATTTGATTGTATTTGAATTTTGACAAGTATTTGATTCGACTGCAAATAACGAAGCCGATGATGGGAGGCAGGGGAATGGCTGAATAGCAGATCACTGAAGTTAATGACTAGCTTATCAATCCAACCATTTGCATGATTTGCTTGACTGAAACATCGTTTTCTGATTTAGTTAATAAATACACCAATGCTCATATCAATAAATACACATGGCCCGAAACAATCAATAAATGCAACGCCATTACACATATTATTCTGTACTTATATATAAAATATTTTTAATTAAATCATGTAAAATAATAAAAATTAATTATTTAATTAAAAGTACAGTAATATTTTAATTTTATTTTTAATTATTATAAATAAAATAAATAAATTTCTTCTTTTAAAATAAATTAATAAGTGTTCTTATATTTTTTTAATTTAATAAGAGTATAATAATTCATTCATTATAAAATTGCCAACAACATCTTATATTTAAGAATAAAAAAAAGTTTTAAAAAATTTTTTGTATACAAGGAAGGATGGAATATTGTTTTGCTTATCAATTAATGGATTTGTTTTATTGTGAAAACTGCTTTTGTAGGGTGGGGGAATTTCTCATTGCCTGTTTTCTCTATGAATTCCACCTGATATATTTATATAGATGCTGTAAAATGTGAAACCTCATCAGCTTCGCGTTAGGGTTAGACAAGAGGTCATTGTTCAAAGACTATATGATCATTGAAAATAGTATGCAGGATGGACCACTTACTTATTCACATTGAAACTCATTGTATCTCCAAATCAGCAACATGTGCATGCTTCTACGGATGACGATATAAATGTGAGTTACATGAGTTGAGGTTCTGTCATGTCATGTTGCATATTTATCAGTTTCACAATAATTTTTTACATATATCTAAAACTAATCTAGCTTTTACCACCTCTATCCCAAATTATAAAGCACTCTTAAAAAAGTTTCTCTATTTTAAAGTATAAAACATTTTGGATAGATTAAAGTTTTATTAAATGTATCAATTTCAATATTATCTTTTCTTTTTCTGTAATTAATTTTTGTTCTTTCTCTTTTTAATATATTAAATGATGAGTATTTTTAAAAGTTTATATTTTTATTTTGAAAAGATAAAATTTTTAAGTGTATTTAATGAAATTTATTAATATGTGAGATTTTATCTAAAAGTGTCTTATTATTTAGGATGGAAAGAATACTATTTGACATCATGCAGACAAATTGTTTTGGGCTTAAGATACGCTTACCTTGATGTCATTCACATTTTGATATTCCTTCAAGTGTTTTGAGTGAAGACTGAAAGCAAAAATTTGAATGCAAATATTGGCTCGTCGTACCTGAGAAATTAAACCAGCTAGCACATTCCTGTTTATAGAAAATCATGCACATGAGAACACATTTAAAACTAACATATATATACTGAAACTTTTATTTACTTTCGTCCAAACTTTTTTATTTATATCATTCTAACACAAAAGTTATTGTGTTATGCAATCATTTCATTGAACCTAACTTTATTTTTTTGGCCGAAAAAACTTGACTTTATTTTCCTTTATTACATCATTTACTAAAGCTAAGTTCCGCTTAATAACTGATCAAATTTCACATTTGAATACCAATATCATCATGATTATGCTACAAGTCAATATTGGTAATGCACCATCAATCCTGGCAGGTTCATCTTTGCACGCCATACTTGAAATTTTCTACTGATGTGATGTGCTAAGAAAAGCAGTAGATCATCATGCATCCTTTTTAAAATTTTAAATTTGCCAAGTTTTCATGACCCAATTTTCGCTTCCTGCATCCTATCATGATGCATGCAAAAATGCAAACTCGGTGAGATAAATAATCCTAAATTCATGCTGGTTGTAAATTGTCAGTTATTTATATACTTCTGTAGGTCTTTCTGATGTTTATTTAGTGTGGTTGTGAAGCAAACTTATTATTATTATATGTTATATATTTACTTCATTATATATTTAGATCGTGTTTATTATTAGTATTAGAAGGAGTTAGAAGTATCTCATATGAAGAACATATTGGGAAGGCGAATGGTTTATCATCTCCTTGCACGCAAGTCTTCATTGTTTTCGGTAGCCCATCTCTAATGTTGTTAAGTATTCCCCTCTATACACACACACACACACACACACACACAGATCAACTCCTTTTTTTAGTACGTGTTACTTCTTTCTTGGTTTTTGGATTATTTATACAAGTTACTTTAGTTGATTGTATTTGAATTTTCACAAGTAAATGCTTCACCAGCAAATAATAGAAAGTAGGGATACATTCAACTACAATAGGAGTGGCTGTGCATTGCAGATCACTGAAGTTAATGATTAGCTTCTCAATCTTACCAAATGATTTGCTTGACTGAAATATCGTTTTCTGATATAATTCAAATCCCCCTTTCCATTCTTTCCATTCATTCCTTTTTAGTTTAGATAGAATATTGACAAGATGGTAGCTACTAGATCAGTAAATACACCGCCAACGCTCATATCTGTTTGCTCGTCCCATGCAAATGGCTTCACTGGTTTGGTAGCTTCAAGAATGACCTCCATTGGAATTATTGGCTTTGACCACTCCATTGGGACCGCGTAGTGATTGTATTGTCGAGGATCTGGACTGTAGTCCTGCATTTCATGATTATCTTAGTTCAGAAACCACGAAAGATGATCATCTTCTGCAATTAAATAGGTGCTGTAAGAACCTGTTACCTGATCGGCATGCATCTTTATCACAAAGATTTTGAATATATAAAAATTTGACCCTTTCAGTAACTCATCTGACAAACGCAAGTATGTCACCCCATACAGCTTCAGTTTTGGAGGGCCCCTTCTATTAACTCCATTAGGCCTAGCATTTAGAAGAATTTGATCGTATCCTTCCTTGTCATATCTTGAAAGTGCATTTTCTCCAGCAACTTCCAGCCCCTCTATCCAACCTCCACTAAGGACCTGTATGTACACCCAATTCATCTGTAACTTGATCAAATCTTAAGGGCAGGCAACATTGAAGGGTTTTCGATCAGAGACTGACTTGAACTTGCTGAATGTTGCTGATTGGATATCAGATTAAGATTAGAAATTGGAATAAATTACCTGCTGAACAAGTTCCTGGGGGCCACTTTTTGCTTCAGAGGTTTGTTCCAAGTTCCTCATCTCAAGACATGTAAAATTCAATATGGCATTGTGTCGAGAGAGCATCCTTGCTATAGGACGGTATCCATCTCTATCATTTAAATTGTAATATCCTGTAGTAAGTTCAGCAGCATGACTTTCTGTTTTGTACCACCAGTGGATTCCAGCCACCTGTTTCGATGATATACTATCAGATGAATGAAGCAGAAAAAAGAATTGGTAATGAGATATATGTTACAGAATTTACTTTTGCAGCTAACTTCACTTTGCAGCCTACGAACGCTTTATTGGCTTCATCTAGGATCTCATCACCATGGTTCAGCAACTTGTTGGAATACCATGTCAGAAAAAATTTCCCCTTCTCTGTGAGGTAAGTCCCATTTGATCTGAAAAATTCTGTAGATTCTGGTTTGTCATTATATTCCCCTGCATTATCCGGTAGCTCCCATTCAGGATGACCAGCTTTTAAAGCAGCCTCTTTGAAATCAGCTCTAAGATATTTGTCATAGCACTGTAGTAATAAGATGTACACATTTTCTTCAGCACTATAATAAACTATGATGGCCCTATCCACATTTCATAAGCTGCTACTACAGTAAAACTCGTACTCACTTGAAATTCTCCAATACCAGGAAACTTCCATCCCTGACTTTCTGCATAAGAGGGGTATCTGAGTTCTCCAGCAGGACCAAGTCCTACTTCAATGTCAATAAAGAGTTCAGATTCCAAAAAGTCCGCCATATTCTCTCTAAAGCTCTTCAGGTAATCACTATAAAGCTGCATTAGATTTAGACCACCAATTTTAGTATCTGCAAGCATAAAAGTTAAAAATCCAAAACTGAGCTTGCGATCATCAATTTTTCCCACCCTCACTAGTTAGACTCCTGAGAAATTATGTCAGACAAAGCAAAGGCATATTCTGCAGTGAAACAAGACTCATAGGATATTTAAGACTACTGGTAAGATTTTGATTTGATTTCCAAAAGGCTAACCTCAATGGCTGTTCTTCCATGAAATAGAATCTTGTTATCCACACCAAGACTAAGATATTCCTTATTCCTGTTCCCTGTGCGATTGGTGTAAAAGATGTCAGGGTCTGATTCTCCAACTTCAAGTACCCATTTAGGGAGAGGGATATAAACAGAATCCCCTACATTCCCTCCACATTGGTGGAATGACATTATAGCTTGTAGCTTCAATCCACATTTTTGAACCAGTTCAAACAAGCTCCTATAACCAGACCAATCAAACTGCTTAGGTCCTTTGGATTCTACAATACCCCACCACACATCAACCATGACCCCATCAACTCCTGCTGCACGCAGCTCTTTGAGATGATTCTCGAGCCCATCTCTGTCTTCTAAGGCATTATCAGTTGTAATAATCCCAAGCTGGAAGGAGAAATCAGAGTCCAAAGGGAACACAAAGAAACAGATTAATGCGAGCTAATTTATTGTACTTGTGCTGAACTTGATATCCAGAGACAGAGACCAAGTTCATGACTTACTGGGAGCATAACGAATACTGGCACATAATTTGCAAGCATCGGATTGTTGGGAGTCGAAGTACTCGGAGCCTGCATATTTTTAGCAGAATTACAGAATGATTGTGAGAGGATAAAATTAGACCTTCGACTTCGCGCCCGCGTCAATTCTACGCGAGAAAAAGTTAGGGTTTCCACTCTGGCTTTTACTCTTCGTAAAAAAGAAAAAAGAAAGAATCTATATATATATATATATATATTTAATAGAATTATAAATAAGAGGGGTATCTGAAAATTAAATTATTTGAAGGCGGAAATAATTTAGAACTGGGTATGAATGAAATGAAAGGATTGCGACTTTTTGCTTCAGAAAAAAGAAACACTGAAAACAGGGTCGGGAGATCGATGGAATTGAATTGTCGACTTACTATTAATGCAAGATTATGCAAGAAACCCTGTCTAATCCGACTCTTCGCAAAAAGAAAACGTAAAGTTTTAAGAAAGAAAATAATGTGGATGAAGATGGCAGGTTCATAATAGAATATTGACTCTTCGGGAAGGGCCTTTCAGCTTAAAAGAAAGAGGGGCACAAATGATATTTAAGATGCTAGATCGGGTCATTATTGTATCTGTGTAATGATTTTATATTGACAAGAAAAGAAATGGAGGTGGATGCATAAAAATGTATCACGTGCGAGGATGACGAACCAAGTCTCACCGAGTCATTCTCGGCCACAGCTTAATGATACTGTGCCCTCACTGTCCAATGAGAGAAGTAGAATTGTTGGGATCTCCTTACCTCTGATTCTGCAACTGCTGCTTTGGGAGCCATCGTTTCTAATCTTGAAACTTGTCGGGAACCCCATGTGAGGCCATGTTTAGAGCTCCCGGAACCCGTAATTCGTGTAGCTTCCACACGTTTCACTGCTCTGAAGCCGTCCGTTTTGGGATGAAAATATCTTGCTTGAACCCCAATAATTCTTCTGCCCAGCCCACCTTCCACTGAAAGCGGGACGCTTTTCATGGTGATTTGGGTTGCGTACGAACGCTTCTACTACCAATGTCGTCCTTGTCGCAGATTATAGAAGGAGATTTTCTTCTTTTGGGTGGAGAGCGTTCTTTATTGCTATTTCTAGTTTTCTGCTTTGAAAATGGTGAGTCACTGATACACTATATATTATAGCTCGTTGAGAGTGAGCCGGTGGACGGTAGATGAAATAACAATCAAGAACAAGACGTTGGAAGTACGACTCAGAATCAACACACGAGTGGTGGGTGTTGTTCGTTCCAGCTTCTTGGACCGTTCTTGGAATCTCTTCTTCTTTTTTTCTGCACGTGCTTCGCATAAATCATCGTCTTCTTTTGCATTTGTATGGCTATGGAATCAGTGCAATTACGTGGCTTCCCGATGCGGTTATACCGTTTGGGTGGTCTCTGGGTATGGCGAAACTGAATTGAAGATGTCAAAATTTTTACTTTTTTTTTTATAAAACTTATCTAACATTAGAAATTAAAATTGTTAAAATATTTGAATATTTTTATTGAATAAATTATATTTTTTTAGGATAGTATTCAAATTAAAAATCTCATCAAAAACCTACAATAGCTTGTCAAATAAAAGCTAAAAGAAAAAAGAGTACAAATATTGCTAGCATAATATTTAAGAACTTGGTTATAAATACTATAATGAAAGAAGTATAGGAGTTTGAATCAGGTATTTGACCAAATAAGATTATCTAGTTCTCATACAACCTATCACTAAAATACCTTTAAGAGGGTAAGAAAGTGAAAAAGGCTTTTCATGAGATGAAAAATGAAAACTATTAACTCCACATGAGATCTGTAAATAAATGATTATCTGATAATAAGTAAAAAATATCTATCTCTCCACTAAACATAATGTATTAAACTCATAACTTATTAAATTTTTTTATAAGTGTCAACTTAAAAGTAAATTTCTTATCCCACACGGTAAAGAGATGATGAGAGAAGATATATTTTATATTATAAAAGGGTTATCATTAGAGATATTATTGTTTCTAATGCAAAAGTTTTTATAAAGGTGGAAAATGACTCGGCTTTGATCTGAGTGCGATTTCAATTATTAATATATGTAATTGAAAATAATCAATTAGGCTTGTGGGAAAATCTAGAAATGGAGGTCACAACATGATATTAGTAAATAGTCATGAAATAAAATTTGATATTCTAAAAATGATTCGTGTCCTTTAAAAATAATAAAGAAATCATGAAAAGATGGATATAAATGGAGCGATCGGACTTAGAACAGCTAGGGTGATGTGGCAGACATGCTTAGCTGTGGAGCGCGTTCCTCAATGCTATTTTGACTAGGGGTGTTTACAGGGATGAGACGGGACGGGACCCAAAAATCTTTATCCTGTGCTCCATCCTAAACCAAAAAAAAAAAAAAATTGTATATTTATCCCGTACTCCATTGGTTAAAAATCAGGATAAAATTAAAATGTCTCTTCATCTCAATAAATCAAATCATGTTAAAAAAATTTAAATAATAACATTTATTAAAATTTTAAATTATATAATTTATTAAATTTAAAATTAAAATAATATAAATATATAAATTATAATAATTTAAAGTTAGTTATTGAATTATATTAATCACAACTTTACATTATTATAACAATTATAAGTTATTTTTAAACTATAAAAACAGCAGCAACAGACAAGATAAGCACAATATTAAATTATTATTTTTATTAAATAGATAGATATAAAAATAAATTATATTAATATAATTAATATATTATAAAAAAGATATTATCCTATTTATTCTATGTGATTAAAATTATCAATAAAAATATTTTAAATAAGAATTGTGTATATTAAAATTATAATTGATATAATTGATATATTTAATATATAGTTTTTAAAATAAAAAATATTTATATAATATTTGAAATAAAATAGGATGTTCTGATGATAATTTTATATTTTATTCCATCTTGAATTTTTTTGTTATCTCATTCTGCAAAATTCTCTTTTGATTATTTTCAACTTGGGATGAAATCTGTCAATCGGAATGACAATAGATCAATTGAAATAGGTACATGTTGAATGTTCCTAATTTTGATACAACTCCCTCGCACTTTCACGATACACATTTACCACTTTGTGATTCATCCTCGTTCATCTCAGATTCTTCGGAGTCATCAGCCCCTGCGAATAATGAGCGTTCCTTTGTAGCCTGCGTTGTCCCCCCAAACTTTTTTTTTTTTTAGTACAAGATTACAGTAAAAACCGTACAAAAAAGATTAAAGTCTAGGCATATCAAAAGCTATAAAATTTATACAATTGATAGACAAATTGATGAAGATAAAAATATTAAAATTTTTATAAAGAATCTTATGAATCAAGAGATCAGCTCCGCTCGAACTTTGAAAAGTAACAACTAACAATGAAAGGACCGAATGAATGGTTAAAAAAAACTCAACTGAAGCTTGAACGGGCTTTTATATAGCAGGTCATTGTCTTCCGCCCAACCCACTGTTTCGACGGGTTACGGGATTAGACATGCCTAGCTAGCATGTCGCGCTCAGCCGATTTTCCTATTTTCCTCCACTCCAAGTCTCAAAGAATCATGTCCAGAGACCTCGCCTTCAGGTCTTCAACCCCGTATGTTATTTTTATAAAAAATATAACATAGTACTTAGTACTTTTTAGACAAGAAAAAACCTGTCATTTTTTTAATGAAAGTAAAAAAAATAATTATTTTTATTAATATATAAAATATAATTAAAAATATCTTACAATTTTAATTGAGACATGGATTAGACACAGCCACACAGGTATCAATATCATGAAGTACGTGTTGAGGGACAAGACCATAATATAGAGCGGTTCTAATAATAATTACTTAACACTTTTCAATAAAAATATAAAAGTTAGGTGATATTTTAATTTTTTTTAAATTTTTATATCTTTTCAATTATATTTTTATTAATTATTTTTTATATTAATTTATAAAATATTTTAAATAAAATTATATATATTAATAAAATTTATTAAAGACACTTTACATATTTATTTTTTAAAATAAAAATATAATTTTTTTAAAATATCTTTTATTTATTATTTCACTCAAAAAAAATGTAAAGGGAAGATAATATATAGGAAAGATAATATTAAAAGATATGATTAGTAGAATTTTATTTTTATTAAAATATTTTATATTTTAAAACGTTAATTTTTTTAAAATTGTTTTTTAATTTGAGATAAGAGAAGTACTTCATCTGTCTCTTTATATAAGAGGTTTTTTAAAATTTTTTTGTCTTTAAATATAAGAAATTGTTGACATATTTTTTAATGAATGGAAGACTATACCCTTATTAAATTAAAAAAATATAAGTATTCTCATTAATTTATTTTGAAAAAAAATATTTATTTTTTATTTACAATAATTAGCGACAAAATTAAAATATTACTGTATTTTTAATTAGATAATTAATTTTTATTAGTTTCATAATTCAGTTAAAAATATTTATATATAAAGATGAAGGGAGTATCTTATAACAGCGTTTCAATAATAACAAATGAAATTTCAATACATATTTTTTCCACAAAATTAATAAACAAAGCAGGGATATATAAATATAATTGAAAAAAATTATAAAAACTATCTAATAATAAGGAGCTGTGTTCTGGCTCACGAGGGAGCCTTTTATGGTGTTGGTGTAAAAATCAGTGAACCAACAAGTATTGGCCTAATGAATAAACATTTGACCTATAAACTATAAAATGGTATAATCAAAATTCGTTAACAACATGAAGATCTGGTAAATAATGTATAAATATCTCTACAGACATCTTTCAAGCATGAAGACATGTTTTATTCGTTATCAATTTATAAACCAGAACCCATCTAAACTTTTGTTACCTCTCAAATAAAGAGATGCAGGGAATGGAATGCAGAAAAGCCGCCTGATTTGGGAAACCAACCCATAAGTACAAGTTCACGTGGAATTGGCCTTCACGTGCTCCCAATAACTCCACCCAATCCCTTACTAGCCAGCCAAAACTACCACTCGTCCTCTCTTGATACGGTTCTGTTTGTACTTACTAGCACTTGTTATCGCCTTCTCTCCTTCCCTCCCTCTTCTCTTCTCCCCAGAACGCCATGGGAAAAAGACGAAAAAGAGCAAGCAAGACCCATCACCACAGTCATCTTCTCTCCTGATCCTTAACCGGCGTACGCCTAGCAGCTCTGCCAGGTACTGCTAACCAATCTTTCTCATTCACAACCCTCCCCCCTTCCCCACCGCCTGCCTTTTCAGACAGTACAGTTATTATGTGTTACGTGGGTAAGGCAACCAAGATCTTCATCTTCATTGTCACCGTCCTCGTCGTTCTCGGTCTTGTTTTGGGATTTGGCCTTCTTCGCCGTGCCCACCTCAAAAATGTCAAGTGCTCCGGCGATTCCTGCTTTTCTCCCCCTGCCACCACCTTCCCCGCCCCCAATTTTGCCTCTCCCACTCCCAACTTTGGCTTTACCCCCGCTCCTCCCACCCCTCCGAGTCCGATTCCGCCTTATTCGAACCCTAGCCCGCCTCCTCCGTCGGCACCGATGATGAATCCAAGCCCACCTGCGCCACCGGCACCGATTACGGATCCTAGTCCGCCTCCGCCTGACTCTAACCCCACTCCACCTCCAGCGCCTTTATTGCAGTCGCCGCCTCCGCCGTCGCCTTCGTCTCCGAGCGCAGCGGCTCCTCCTTTGAACCCGACCAGCTCGATGCAAATAGTCAAGGGTCCTGCTCATGCCTAGCTGCATTTTGCGAAATTGAGCAAGGGCGCTTGAGCTTTCTTGCTGGGAAATTAGTTTTGTTCGATTCAAGAGCTTTGCCGTTGATTAATTGGCATTTATTTGTTCTATGCGGTTTTTACGATCAGAGCAAACATTCATATGCTGTCTTGGTTAGATTATTGATTCCTGTTCTGTTCAACCAGCGATCGATGTGCATTTTCTTTTTCCTTTTGTTTTTTTTTTTTCTGACTTTGATTAATGAATAGCGAGAGTGAGGAATCTTTGCTGTCTCGGTTGGCCACGACCTCCGGTAATTGCTCAATTTACTGCCTCTACTTTCTTGTTCAATTCTTTTCGTGATCAGTGTTAATCAATTCGATAATTTTATAATTATGAATTTAACAATTTTGGTGGAAGTGAATTAAAATTCATGAAGTTTTTCTTTTGCAATGTATGGGCAAGGGAATCTGATCTAATGGATCGGCACTGTGCAGTTTTGTTTTTTTTTTTTATCCGCCATTCTCTGCTTTTAATAAATTATAGTTGTTCGTTAGTCTTTGGCTTCCATCAGAGGCAGCAATTTTGTTTCAAGTGGTTATAGCTTTCTTTCTTTCTAATCAGGCAATCCATGCCGCACCTTTTCATCTAAAGGGGATCACATCTCTGAAATTAACTATTATTAAATTAAGGTTTAAATTTTCCTTGTGTATAAAAAAAAAGCTTTAATAATAATTTACTGAACTTATGAATGAAAAGGGATCGTAAGAGTCAGGGAAAAAAAAAAAAAGTACAAAAGACAAGCTGAAGAATATTGGAAACAAAAGAGAAAAAAAAGTTGTATCTTTTGAAAATAAAAAAGAGTATTTTGCCAAAAAAAAAAAGCCATATCCGATATGATATATTAACCAACAAAAAACAAAAAAACAAAAAACAAAAAATGCTGGCCATGGTCCCCTTACTCCTTGGAATCCAAGATTTGCACAGGAATATTTGATTTGGAAAACTATTCTGTTAATAATCGTTAAATACTTAGATCCATGTTTATTACCAAGCATCTCTGGTATTCCATTTCCATTGAACCCTGTATTGACGATGTAGCGGGGTATTTCTGGATACTCAAGCAGTACTGATAATTACAAAATACTCCCATTGCAAAGCGGGTCAAGAAATTTTTCATTGCTGTTTGACCGTGGAGGAATCAGCTATTCTGCAAGGTGTCACAAGGGTCCCGCTATTTATTATCAATTACAGTAATTAACAATTAGTACTGCCTCCTGACAAAAATAAAATTTTATTAATAATACTTTTGTAATAAATTAAAATATATTTTTAATCCTCCATCTTCATATAGGATTTTATTTTGACCTCTTATTTATCATTTAACTTTAATATTATTAATTTCATCACATTAAATTTATATATTAAATTTTTAAATATTAATAAAATATTTTAAAATGTTAATAGATTAAGTTTAATTTTCTCCTAATAACAATGAATGGCACAAATTGTTAGAGGACAGAAAAAAATATTTTTTAATTAAATGATCAAATTAAAATTTTATATAAAATTAAAAAATTAAAAATATACTTTAACCTTTTCAATATTACTTTTTTCATTATATTTTTATCTTCTTACTATTCTTTTATGCATAAGTATTAATAAAAGCCAATTTTAAAAATTTATATTTTTATTTTAAAAAAATAAAATTATAAATTATATTTAATAAATTTTATTGATATATAAAATATTAAAAATGTCATATAAATTGAGACAAATTGAGACGGAGGAATAATAACCATTGATAATACTGATAATAATAATAGCAAACCATATATATAGCTGCTGTCTTCTGCGTCATTATTAGTAATTATTAGACACGCATGGCAGTGAAATGATTCGGATCCCATCGCTGTCACTGAACTTGGTTACTCCTCTAATCTTTTATATATATTATTCATATCAATTTCATTAACATCAATGTAATAAATTTAAAAAATAATATTATATTATTTTTTATAAAAAATAATTTTAAAAATATTTTTTAAATATTATATAAAAAGATATATCATGATTTATAAATAAAATAAAATAAATTTTTTAAAATGTAATTTATAAATGCGACTGAAGTAAGTAGTTGAGCATACTACTTCTGGAGGGTATATTCTGGTATATCATGTTGCTAGACAAGTTAATCGATTTGATATATAATCGATTTTTTTAAAAAATTCAACATACCGGACTGGGTCCAAAACTCACCCCCAGGCCGACGACAGTGAGGCCCAGATCATGGCCCTACCAAAATTAGGAGGCCATTACCCTTTTGCTTATTCATTTTGTACCATATTTTGGCTCTGCATTCTTGGAGCAGAGTTTGCTCATTTATTTGATTTGAAGAATAAAACGTGCCTATGAATATTTGCAAATAACAATAACCAACAAAATTAAGTTACATCGACATTTTATTCTTCAAATCAAATAAATGAGCAAACTTTATTCGATAACATCCACACGGGAATCAATGTTCATGAGTATACACTGCTGACGAAGATCGAAGCCTAGCGTCACAACAATAATGTTGATAGTAACCCTGCTAATCTTCGACCCACCCGACACGAAGTTCTACACTTTGAAGAAAGGGTAAGTCTCATATCGCACGTTGCAGCTTCCGCCTGCAACTCTGCCACCTTGTTTCCCATCACAACAATTGGGAAGTTCACTGATTGCATCATCAAGGCACTTCTTGCAATCCTCGCTAGAAAGGTCCCTGGTGCACTGAGTCAACCCATACACTGTCATGTTCTTCGATTCTTCAAGGTTTGCCTGTCCCGCTGCATACATCTTAGGGTTCGCATGAGCTTCCTCAGCAAGTCGGCTCAACAACTCCTTCGTCTTGTAGTTGAAAGCGTCAGGATCACTTACGTTTTGCACGTTCAACAAGTACAACTTGTTTGCGTTATCAATGCGGCCAAAAAAATCTTGGTCCGAATACTTGAACAAGCAGTTGTCGTACCAGATTATGGCACCCTTGTTGTAGGAACATCGTTTGAGGAGTCCGGCGGTTGCTTGGGAGATACAAGTTTTGCAGTCTAGGGGAGAGACATCCCCACGGCAAAGAGAGAGGCCGTAGGCTTGCTGGTTCTTGCATTGGCCAATGGATGCGAGACCGAAACCAGTGAGAGGGGTTTTGTAAGTAAGAATCGTAATGAGCGTTTTCAAGTTGGAATCGAAAGGCGTGTTGGCGGTGAAGTTTTGAGGGTTTGAGCAGACATAGGAAAGAGGGTCGGTTCCGAGAGATGTTCGGAGAAAGACAGCCCAGGTTAGGAGGAGGACGGTGGAGGAGAGCTTTGAAGAACAAGACATATTGGAATTAAGAGGTGATGATGAGCTTTTGATCGAGTGCTGAGAGATGATAATTATGTTGATGAAGAGCTTATTTATAGTGGAAATCTCTGGTTTTGTCTTCGGAGGAAGACGAGTTAAGCAAGTTGACATGTTTTACAGAGCATGCTGAGGCTCGTTTACCTGGCCAGTTTTACAAGGCAATGTCAAAAGTAATTGGCTGCGTGCTTGGTCTCCTGGATTATTTAATTCGCTGGCGTTCTCTATAAGTGTCTGTCTGATCAAGCAGCCCATTACCTGTTCATTACAAAAGTATGCCACCCTATTACTTTTATATATAATATGTAATTTTAAAAGATGCGAGACCCAGCTTATGTGTATTTTGTGTTTAACTTTCAAATTAAAGTTTGCGACGCATGTACGAGTCATTTGTGTGAAGATTTAAATAGTGAGCTTGTTAGGTTTTCTTGGATATGAATGTTTGGTCGTGCCCAAGAAAATTTCCATTTCTTTGAATTTGTCTGGTTATTATGGTTATTTTTTTTTTATGATATTGAATATGTTGGGCTTTGGGCTTGTATGTATGTATTTTTATCGGTGGAGTTAAGTCCATCGCATCTAAATCTGAGTCCTAAAACAAATCTTCAGAATCTTTGTATATCACAAATTAACGCATCCCCAACTTGCATCGCCGGTGTTACAAGAACCCGACCTGACTGGCTAGTTTAACTATTCACAAGTTCAGCCAGGCTATAGTTAAGAACCACCTAGTCAGAGAATCGATAAAAAATCAGTCGAAACAAACAGAACCGATAGGTAGATTGGTTGAACCGGTCCTATTATGTTTTTTTTAAAATCTCAACTCACATTTATAAACTACAATTTACACATATTTATACCTAATAAGCATTAATAAATGAAAAAAAGAACAAATATGCAAGAAATATGTATACATTTTAAAATTATAAATTATGAAATAAACATCTAAAATTTGGATTAAAATGATGAAATATTGATGGATATTGCCTTTTTTATTTTATATTATTTTGAATGAAATTTAAATGTTCATTTTTATTATATATCATTATTTGTTTTTATTTTAAGCTATATTATTTAAAATATATTAATTTAGAGCAGTTGAACCATGGATTATGGTCCAACTATTAAACCATGAACCAATACTTGTTGTGCCTGTTCAATAATCAATTTGGTTTTCTTAACATTGTACATAACCTCCAAAAATCTTGGTTTCATTATTCTCGGGGATTAAGCATATGATATACCTTATCAGTCAGAGAATTCTGTACATTCATGCAAGGGCGTTTACGGGTTCGATCCCACCTCTAATATTAAGCCATTAGTGTCCGCCTCTCTAATTAAAAGAATAAAATAATTAAATAAAAATACCACTAGATAGATGCTTCGTTGCAGCCACAGGGGACATAACTTAGCTGCTTGCATGCGCACTCAAGGATGAAATGTCATCAGAGAGCACAAGTTAAGCCCATAGAGCCCGACTAGGCCTTCCTCCTATGCTGTCCAAGGTCTTCTTTCACAATGCTCTTGGAAATGGAAGAAATTAAAGGAAATGAAAATAATTATGTTAGGTGTAATTTTTGAACAAAAATTATGTTAGGTGCAATTTAAAAATGGTAAAAGCGTGAAAATATCGAGCAATATGACAAAAATATCTTTTAACGAAGGTGTGATTTTTTACCATCCCATTACACCTAAGGGCCCCACAACACATGAAACATATTTTTATTATCATGTTATTAAAGCTGGTAATTTAAATTAAGTTAGACAGACTAACTTGATCATCTTAAAAAAATTTAAGGCCAAATTTAAAAAATATTTTTTTAATATTCAAGCTTATTCATATCAACTCGAATAAACTCAACAAAATTTGGAGCAAGCCCTAAATACCCTAATAAAAAATAATATTTTTAATATATATATAATATAATAAATATTAATTAATTTTTTAAGTTTTGTATTATTTTATACTAAAATACTATATGTATTTATTTGTGTGCTTTACTATAGTTATTTTCTAAAAAATTAAAAATATTTATATTTTCATATTTTTATTATTTTAATCAATAAAATATCTCAAAATAATATTTTAATTATATTTTAATATTAATTTTTATATTTTAAGACCCACTCATTTTTTTAAGCTTTGAGTACATCATTTGAATATTCAAAAAAATTATATTTTATATTTTTATAAAATAAGATAATAAATTTAAAGTAAAAAAATTGAATTAAAATAATTTAAAAATAAAATTTAGGCATGTACAAATTCTCGGCTCCACTATTAAATAAATATAATAAATAGAATAATATATTTAAATAATTATTTGGTTATCTTCCAAACTAAACTTAGTTAAAAATTAAAAATAAATGGGAGTAAATACCCCTTCTATATAGGCGTTAAATAATATTAAAAAAATTACAAAAATATTATTTTATTCATAATTAAATAAATTATTTTAGTTAAATTAATGGTGAATATCATTCTCATATTCTTAAAAAAAGTACACTTTATCCAAAAATTATTGAAAGTTTTGAACTGATTGAGGTAATAATTTTAAATTAGTGGTCTAATCATAATTAAATTAAAGTCAACTTGATCTTAATTAAAATAATATAATTTAATTAAACTATATAAAATATTTATATATGACCTTGATAAGAGTAGTATTTGAAAAAATAAGATATTAATTTACAAATAAAGTAAATATTTATAAATAAATTACACATAATACAACAAAACAGTAACAGATTTATTTAAGTATAAAGTTAATAAGTTACTATTTTTTATTTTATTTTTTTAAAATTAAAATAATATTTTATACTTGACAGAGTTATTTAAAAATTAAAATTGATTCAAAAAATAAAAAATATTTTTAAAAAGTTTAAAATATTAAAGTCAATCCAAATAAGCTTGAAGCCTGAAAGTGATAAGGCCAGGCTTGATTATATAGATTTTTTACAAAATGTAGGATATTTTAAGTTCTATTCGAATAAATTCAGCCTTTCTAAATTACCGATCCTATAGGTTATGTTAGAAACAATGATTTAATGAAAGAAGCATACCTAATACACTCCCTCATTTGCTGTTTCCAACGAGGGACCAAAATAGGGGCTAAAGGTTTGGTAGGAAAGATCATTTTGAGTTAAAAGCATTTTTTTTGTACTTTCTTTTTAGAAGTGTTAAACACTTCATACTAATAAGTAAAATATTTTTTTTCTTAAATCATTTTTTAAATGAGCAAAAATCTCCCTCTATTATTGATCTATTAATTATATCATTTTTTGATAATGTGGCATGTTCTTTTATGCTAATTTATTAAAATAAAATTTAATAAATATTAAATTTATAAATATTCATTGCCTAATTATAAATGTCCTTTACTAAGTTCTAAATGTACAAGATTTATGACTTGAATATTTCGTAAATTTCATATAATCTCTTAATAATAAATTTTCTTATATGGATTTAAGCATAATTTTCCCAACTTTTTATGCTGTGCTTGACTCCCTATAAAAAAATATGTGTGTGAGAGAGAGAGAGAGAGAGCCAATAAAAAATGAAGGCATGTAATTTTCATAATCTATAGTACTTGGCTTGGGCAAGAAAAATGAAAGGGGAGAAAAATTATTATATTTAGGGAGAAAAATTGGAGAAAAAACATGTGGGTTTCATGTATTATTTTCTTTTCAATTTTCTCTCTCATTTTTCTCTCATTAACAAATGTTAGTTTCCCCCACTTTTATTTCTCACTTTGTTTTTCCTACTTTTCTTTTTTTTACCAAGCACAACATCGAAGTGTGTTTTGTCTGAACCAAATCTTGAGCACATGGATTATAATCTTATCTCGGAGGTTAGACAGTCTCTTTGAGGAGACTGGAACGCACAGGTTAAGCATATTAGACGAGATGTTAACAGAGCAGTTGATATGTTAGCAGATGACGCCAGGCTTTGACCAGGTTCCTAAACCATCTTCTGCACTGCGAAATGTCCCTGAGCAGGATGCAAGTATCACGGCTTCTATAGGAATTACTTAGGCAGTCCATTGTTTCTGCCCCTTATATATACACACACAGTGACACACATATGAAATCCCATATTTCAGTACATGAGGCATTTTACAACTTTTTTTAAGGAGCATTTAGTATACTCATTAGCATAATGTCTTTGTGAGAATATTATAATTACTTTTAGAAAAAGTTTGTTGTTGTCAACAATGATTAAATATTAGTATTAAATGAGGGAAAAATTTTAACCACTTAGTTTTTAAAAAATTTTACTCCTAACATAGTCTTTCCCCATTGGAAAGAAAAATATACGCACGCACACAACAGTACCAACATTGTATTTAAACCCGGTTACCCAGGACCCCTTCCAAGTAAAGGAAGTGGTGTTGCTGCTGAGACAACTAATTGTTGACAACCAGTTTAGTTATTAGCCTTGATTCACATGATAATTAAAACGGAAAGAGTATAGGGTTGAACCACCTTTGATTTGCTGACACAAGATAAATGTGGAATGGTTGAGACAATCAAGAGAACAATAAATTATAGAAGAAGCAACAAACTTGCATATCTCGATCTGGTTTTAGAATATGCAATCAAAGACACATTTTGGCCCTCAAGCTGCTAGAATTGTAATGAACTAGCAGCATCTCCTTATGTTTAGGGAATTTGAGCACTAGGACATCATATTCAATTTAACCGGTCGCAGAGTACCATTTCCAGATCGACAAAAGCTACATCAATATTGATTCGATCCGCATCACAGTAATAGTCATCATGAGCTCATCACTCATCCGCACCGTCCAGATCTCAACATTGACGGTCAACATTCAACAGTAAGAACTGATGACTAACTATGAAGCCAACAGCTGAACGCTTGTTACGGCCTCAAAACTGCCGACAAAAACCTTTACGGACCCATGATTCAATCTGCCGACATTAGGTTATGATTCTGCCCAAGTGCTCATGATTTCAAACTAGGATATAATATGATAGAGTTCGTGGAATCTTACGAATCATGAGACGAGGTCTAAGGCAAGGGTGCCTGCTGCTGCTGAGTTATTAAGTTCTTGAATGCTTTTAGCTGAAGCAAGCAGACTATAAATCCGTTATTGAATTGATTATTAATCACCTTTGACAAAAAAGAATGCAAATCAAAAAGTAAAACTTTCACTTGTATATTGCCTGGTGTGCTATTAGTGCATCAAAAGTTGAGTAAGCTAGTAAATCTCCTAGCATCTATCGGAATTCTGGACTGATGATGATTCTGCAACCATATGCGGGCATTCCCTTGTACATCTAATCATGTCCTTCAAATATTTCTTTTTGCCGTTCATATCAAAAATGCTTTATACTGTACTTTCATCAATGCATGTAAATCAATTCTTCCTCTTTGCAATCTCTTATTGCAATTTCCATCAAGTCACGAGCGGTAGAGGGCAACACATCGCAGCACTGCCTTCTCGGAGCCTGCAACTGAATACAAAAGAAGACGATAAATCAGAGCCACTATCACCTGTTCATCCTCCTGATACCCCAGGGGGAGTTAATACTGAAGGGTACAATGAACTAATTATGTTTTGAAGAAAAACTAGTACTGCATGATGCTATACCTGTTTTATGTTAAGGTCTAGCTTATTTGTAACCACTTTGATGGCTTCCAGTTTCCTCGGCGAAGCAGAATCGTAAGAGCAGTTTTGGTAATGTTTAGTATAATTACTTATGATCACATCCTCCCCTGAAGACAAACTATCCAGGTAAAAAATGGTGGGTCTTCTGCATGGGTCGGGGTGAGGGTCTTTTTTGTTAAAAGTGAAAGCTCCTGCAAAAGCATTTCCCTTCCTCCACTGCCTGAATGTTTGTTGCACGGTCAGAGCATCCGGCAAGAACATATGGCTCGGGAAAACCTGAACAGCATAACCCCATGACACCGATATTGTCCATGAAAACCACCTGTCATAACAAACTGTTTGTTGCAGCATCCTCTGCGAATCCACATCAGCAGCCTCCAACAAACGTCTTAGAGCTTGTGTTCTTGTCATGTTAGGAAAGATAGGGTCTGTATAATCCATGTGATGGAGGGATAACAAGGGCGTCACAGGGTGTGCAGCCAATAGACCAAACATATCTCCGTGCAAATCAACCTGTTATAATCTCAGTCACAAAACAGGGGAATCAGAGAGGACGATAGGAAAAAAAGGGGGGCCGGGAGAGGAAACTAATTTCTCATAGTTTGAGAAACAGGTATACAATTGTAAATGTTACCTGGTGAAAACCAGGTTCATGGGTTAATCCAACGCCGAGCTCAGTCAGGCAAGAGTACACCCTACTATCACTTCCATACAAATGAGGATACCTTTCTATGCATGAATCAAAAACCTTAGCCAAAACCTTTGCGAGAGACGAACTTATGGCGAAACCTGCTCCACCGAAAGCCATTCCAAAGCCAAAGAATCGGTTCTGCTCGTAAATCTCTGAGTGCGCGCCGATATAGTACCAAAGTTCGTGATCATATTTGGCGAGAGTCTTCAACAAATTGTCCGGAAAGAAAACTGTGTCATCATCCCCAAACACATACCATCGTACATCAGAATGATTCAGAGCAACAGTCTCCGCAACAACGCGTGCCACACGGATTGCCGACCGGGATCCACCTCGGAAGGTGTAACGAAATCTTGAAGTGTCCTCTGAAACGCGGAGAGGAGGAAGAGAAGAGCTAGCATTGTTAGCCCGGTCTTCAGCTGAAAGGCTTTCCACAAATACACATCCCCTCATCTGATTGGGTCTCCACCAGAGCTTCAGATACTCCTTCCGCTTAGGCCATGATTTCATGCTTGAAGCAATTCCAAACACAATATGATCAAGTGACGTCTGCGCAGCCACATCTTGTGAGGAAGAATGCACATGTACAACCATAGAAGTAGAAGTACGGACAGCCAGCAATGACACGAGAAGATAAACGACCCCTAATGAAGAGCAGACCAAAATGAAGCTAACCAAAGACTGGGTTTTGGTGGGGTTTTTCAGATGATGCATATTCTCAAGGAAATTGGATGTGCAGAGCCGATTGATTGTGCTGTGTGAGAAAGAGTTCAGACGCGTTTGAGCTTTATAATTATAGGAATTGCCGCCGGGATACACGGCGTAAGAGAGCAGTTAACTTTGACGTTCTAAGTCAGTTACTTCTCCATGTGTATACATAGGTTAGGTCACTTCCCACGCCCTCATGAATCAGAATCGATGTGAGGTTCATTAGACGCAACAGGAACTAAAATGGGTACGGGTGATGAGAAAACAGAGGAGGACGGCCACCTGTCAAGCAAAGGTCAATGCTTTTGAAAATGACGAAAGAAAGAAAGAAAGAAAGATAGAAATATTCAATTCGCCTGGTCAGTTGAAACTTCACAATTTCCCCATTGGATGATAAATATCGTGACCACCACGACCAAATTCAGAATGGCTAGTTCAATCATCTGTGTGCAAGTGTCTCCTCAGATCTTTCGGCCGCCGATGCCGCACTTGACGAAGGAGATGGAGAAAGATATGATCTTTTTAAAGTAATTTCAACAACAGCTTAGAAGGGAGAAAAAGTTGAGACGGGACCCACTTTTGCTTGATTTGATTTCATCAAACACGTTGCATGCCAAGCTGTAGATGAATTTGGGGGAGTTAGATAGGAAGTTACTGCTTAATCCACCGTCATGTGCGAGAGGGTTTTAGCTCCTCAATTCTGAGCGAGAATCATTCTCGTGCAAATAGCTTGTCAAGAGGTGTGTGTTAGGCTTAGCACTTTTTTGGGCATGTCCGCCACAGCACGCAAAGTGAAAGAGACTCAAGCTTCCCCTGCTTCGGTTTTGATCTCTAACGAAGTTGCCTGAGGATGCTTCTTACTGAGTTGGAGATGTCGTGACACATGGATACGGATCCAAATAAACGTGTACTGCCAAGTAACGCTAACCATTTTTTAGCCTGTGAGTAACGCTAAACCGACTTCATAATTATCAAGATCTAGATCAAATTGAGAGATCCAACAAGCCAACTTTATATAACGAGTAAACGTTATTTTCACGCCACCGACTGGCACGTTTCTTTAACTGCTCTCAGAATTAAAAGACAAGGTGTGGAAAAACCATTTCTCTTGAATGGCCACAATGGAAACAATGCTGAACTGCTGAACTGCTGAACTGAATAAAAGCGTTAAAACTTATTCTTTGCTTAATTTAAGGTCATGCATGATACACTTTCTTCACAGACTAATCACAAGTTTGCATACAGCCGTATAGCCAACTTCCGTACATAGTCCTCAATAAAATCAATTTCCCGTAAAAAAAAAAAAAAATCTAAAAATGATCCTCGATCGACTGGCTTAACACGTAACACTCCAAACTACATGTAGCTTCTTCACAAGTTTCAAGCACCAAAACAGGTGAGAAAAGTATACTGTAAACTAAAGAATTGTAGCTAAATAAAGCATTTGGAAAGTATATTGAAATGAGCCAAGCAGCAAACAGGCCAGGTAGCTGTAGCAAGTTGCAAGAGGTTTATTACTTTGTTAGGGCAGAAGGTCTTTCACCATAATCAGGTCTTCGTCTTCAAGTAAATGGTCTTCTTCTGTAACGAGGACAAGGAAAATGGACATCAAAAAATGTAAGCTTCACCATATACTAACTTTTCCTGAGATTTTACTGAATTACTCGCAACACCTATTGTCTTATAAACAACACTAGGCTCCCTTTCAATTTATTTTTTGTCAACTCAATGTAATTTTCACACAAAATTACCTCACGAGAGAAAAAAATTAAGTGTCTAGTCTTATGTTAAAGATTTACTGACCTACCATATATTAAGAATAAAATCACAGTCACATATTGTGAAAAGAAATACTTCAGACCCAAAAAAATTGCTCGGTAAGATTCTGTGGGTAATTTTCTAAACTTCTAAGATGTAATTTAGTCAAATCTGAGGGGAGATCAGGATAATCTACTCAAAAAGATATTTATCATGTATTGAATTTTATATTTAATTATGCAATTTCCACAAGCAACAACTTTTTTTCCAAGGTAAATTTACGAACAAGCATCAACCTTGTACCAGTTTAACTTCAAGATGATCAGACGCCTCCAGACTCACAGGTCACAAAATATCTGGAGGCTGAGCATGGCAACTCCCAAAAAGAATGCTAGTATCTCATGGAGATCAGTTCGTTGATTCCACACTGTCTAATATGAATGATCATTGTTTCCCCAGAATTTGGCAAGACATTACAGCACTGTCGACGAGGGGCCTTCATCTGTAACAAAACACAAAATGGCAAGTAAAAACAGTAACCCAAATAATCAGAATTAGAATGCAGACAGGGTAACTTCGAGAATTACTTTAGCATTACCTGTTCAATATCAAGCTCTAGCTTCCTTGCAAAAACTCCTATCTGTTTCAGCTGCTTTGTAGGGTTTGATTCAAAACAGTGGCCAACAACGTGTCTAGTGTAGTTGGTCCAAATGCCATTTCTAGTAGTTGTAACACTTTGCAGGAAAAATACAGAAGGTCTTCTACATGGATCCTTTGGATAGTCTCTCAGGTTAAAGATAAAATGAGCATCAGTGATTTTACCCCTATTCCATGGTGTAAAGGTTCTCTGCACTGAAAGAAGATCTGGGAGAAATTCATTGCCAAGAAAAACCTGGATCGCAAATCCCCATGAAACTGAGAAAGTCAACGAGTTTGATCGGTCATAGCAGACAGCTTGTTGCAAGATCCTCTGAGGATCAACATTTGCAGCTGTAAAAAGGTGCTCCAAAGCTTGTGTATTGTTCATACTAGGAAAGAGCGGCTCCACTATATCCAAGTGATGAAGTGACAATAAAGGAGATAATGGATGTGCTGCCAACAGCCCTAACAAATTCCCCCTCAAGTCTACCTGGTATAGAAGTGAATGTTTAGACAGCCATAAAGTTCATCAGTTAATCTGCATGACTTGTAGTGAATGTAGTGTAGTGAAGCTATGGAGGACCTTCAACACAAATAACAGAAATAATAATTGAATGGAATTTCATAGTTAACCAAAGAACAACTCTAAGGAAGAGAGAAACAACCCATATCAATTTGTACCGGCCAATGCCTGACTACTTATATGTAAAGTCCCTTTTTGGTCCTCCAGAGGTAATCCATCAGAAATTGGCTCCATCGACGACATTTTAAATTTTGTTCCAATTTCGTCCCTTCAACGGTAAGGAAATGATACTAAACAATCATCTAAGGACTAAATATTCGATAGACTTCGGAGTAACTAAGTAATTTTTAGCAGGGGATAAAATAGAACTTAGAAATACTTTTCTAAGCTTTGTTGCACAGTTAGATTTTAGTTTTACAGTAACTAGTCAGCCGTTAGTTGCAGTTTAGTTTAGTTGGTTACTTTATCTCAACTTGTATATATTGTAATTACACTCTGTGAATAAGCAACTTTTGGCATTTTCCTAATGTGATAATTCTAAAGTCATGAGTGGAGTACCAACGTGAGTTTTGAACATGGGAAGAAGAGCAGTAACACACAAATGATAGCGAGTGAAAGAAAGAAATCAATTTTCACCTGATGGAACCCAAATTCGTGAGTTAACCCAACGCCGAGCTCTGACACACAAGAATAGATCCTCGCATCGCTTCCATATAAATGCGCATACCTCTTCAAACACGAGTCCAAAACCCTAGCTAAGACCTTGGCAAGAGAATGGCTAATGGCGAAACCGCCCCCACCAAATGCCATCTCAAAGGAGTTCTTTACATTCTGTTCGTAGCTCTCTGAATTGGACCCTATATAGAACCACCTATCATGATCGTATTTTGACAGGCTTTTCACCAAATTGTCCACAAAAAACACAGTGTCATCATCACCAAACACATACCACCTCACATCCGGCTCATTCCGATCAACCACTTCCTTAACCACGCGCGCAACGCGAATCGCCGATCGAAGCCCTCTTTTGAAGGTATATGGGAACTTGGAGGTGTCAGCGGAGACCACCACGGGCGGCATATCGGGTAAAATAGAGGACTCATTGGCGACGGGAGCGTCCAGGAAAGCAAATGCTCGAGTGGAATTGGGGGAATACCAGAGGCGAACATAAGATCTCCTTTTAGGCCAAGACACAGACGATGAAGCGATCGCGAAGACGAGGTGGCAGCGCGTGGTCGGGGAGGCGGTGGCGCGTGAGATTAGAATTGGGGGAGGGGCAAAGGAGTGCCGGCGGTAGAGAAGAAGGTAGAGGTTGAGAAGGAGGGAAAGGATCAAGAGGAAGGATCTGAAGTTGAGAGGGAGCATGTTCGGAGTTCTGAGGAAGTTGGAGGACATCGTGGCTAATGGAATCCTCCTCGCAAGGTTGGGGATGGCGGTGGAGAGTGGCAAGGTGGCTTCTTTTTTCTTTCGTTGGAACATCGGCGAAGAGACTACACTACAGACAAAGAAACTTTCGTTGTTTGTGTTCTCGTTTTGGTCGATAAAACGATGTAATAATATCCGAATAAAATATCCATGTCCTTTAACAACAAGGCCAGAGTGGTCGCCGTCGGTTTAATTTCTTCTTCATTTTGTTGGTCGTGCCGTACCGTTGTATTGTCTGCGTAATTACAAAAGTCTGCTAATTGAGTTGAGGAGTCCTTGTTTTGTTAGTTATTCTCTTTGTTTATCTCTCTGTTTACCAAAAAAAAAAAAAATACACAAACGAAATGTAAGTTGATTATTTTATATTATTAATTCACTAGCAAAGTAACCAAGTTCTTAAATTATGTTTGCTGTACAAAGAGACAGAGTAACTCCAATTGGGCAACCGCGAAGCTTAGCATAGCAAGTTGCAAAAAAATGGGGCCTGTTCTGTTAACTACTTAACTTAGTTTACGTTGTTGTCACCTGCGCTGAAAGCCTGAAACGCTACGTGCGCGCTTACTTTGCTCAGACAACGCAGCACGTTATGTTTTGTGCGACTTTTATTTCTCCCCCGTAAGTTATGCGCGCGATATTGAAGGCGCAGATGATGGACAACGTCAACTTGTCAAGGACATACCAAAGCCCTTTGAGCTACAAAATCAAAAGGGCCTATATATGTGTGCAAGAAAAAAAGCCCACATCTGTACATTTTGGTGCCGATAAATGAATTATTATCCAACAGAACCCTTGTCTTCGTTTAAATGAGAAGAAATACAGGGAGAAGGAAAAACTAATATGAAAAAACTCTTAAAAATAGTTAAAATATTATTATCTTTAAAAATTTTCTTCCTTATTTTTTTGCTTTTTCCTCCATTCAAACAAAGCCTTAGACTATGTTTGTATGCATGAGAGTTTAGATTTAAATTAAATTTTTCATTTGAATATATAAAAATCTACGAATGTGGATTAAATGCAAATCCAAATTCATTTGAATATACATAGGTAGGCACTTCTTAGTTGTTCAAAGTCCTATAAAATTAGGCACCCATCGAAAAGTCTTACATGGGTAAGCACTCCCTAATCGTTCAAAGTCTTGCAAAAACAAGCATCCACCAAAAAGCCTTACGTGGGTAAGCACTCCCTAATCGCTCAAAGCCCTGCAAAAGTAGACATCCATCAAAAACCCTACCTGGGTGGGTACTCCCTAGCTGTTCAATGCCCTGCGAAAGACGGGCACCTACCGAAAGCCCTCCATGGGTAGGCACTTCTTAGCCACTCGAAGCCCGTAAAGACAGGTATCCACCAAAAGCTATACTTAGGTAGGCACTTCCTAACCACTCAAAGCTTTGTAAAGACAAGCACCTCTTGAGAGTCCTAAATGGATAAGAACTTCTTAATCACTCGAAGTCCTATAAAGAAAGCTACCCACCAAAAGCACTACATAAGTTAGCACTTCCTAGTCGCTTGAACCTTGTAAAGACATGCACCAAAAGCCCTATGTATGTAGGCATCTCCTAATTGTTCTAGCCCCTATAAAGGCAAACGCCCATCAATCAAGGGAATTAGGTTTTAGTTTTATCATATAGTTGCTTAAAAGTCCTGCCTTCCAAACAAAATACATGTTTCCTTCTTCATTCGTTTATAAAATGAAAATATCATCTCATAAAATTCTCACTTAAAAAGCAAATGAAGAAAGACGTTTAGTCAGCATATATTTTATTTGGATTATTGTCAATTGTTTACAATATCTTTCTTTCTTTCATTTGCTCATCTCAATTTGCATCACATCACCTCATTACATTGATACATTACAAAAATCAAAAATTATTTCACTATGTTTGTAGGCTCACGTTCCACCATATTCATTTGTATCATTTTATTATGTTTTCATTTGTGTCAGGGGAAATCAGATAATTTTATAAGTATTGTGTAGTTGACCAAAATACATGTTCTATCCTTACTTGTCAATTATGTAAGAATTCAAAAATCACATTTTTTCATATACTTACATAAGAAATAAGTGAAAAGAGGCAACTGTGAATACTGTATTTTACATGGGCATTTTTAAATATAACAATAACAATAGTAAATTTAACCCAAAAATAAAATTTTAATAATATAGATAAAATGAAAAAAATAATGATTAAATAGGAATTAACTTTATGTTAGCCTATATAATCTTCTGCTAGCTAGGATTTTATTTCTTTTGGTTAGTTAAAGCAATTAGTTTGAAAAAAATATTTTCTTTTAAATTTTAAGAAGCAAGAAAATCTAGGATTAAGACAAGATCTTCTATTCTAGATAATATTTTTAAAAAAAATCAAAATTTAAAAAGGGTAGTTAAAACTAATCTAAAAAATAAATTTTTTTTCTAAATTTAAAAATTTAAAAAAAATTAAATTTGAGATAAGATCCTTTATTCTAAGTATTCCTCTTTCAAATTGAAAATATGACATAAAATCATAAATATCATTAAAACAAAAGCAAAAAAAAAAAGAGTTATAATAAAAAATAAAAAATAAAAAAATGAAAGGTTAAAACATTAAAAGTGTTTAACCTTCAGTCATTCAACAATGAGAGACGCCAATCCACGCGTGGAGAAGAGGAGTAGAGGTGACTCACTTCCACAACTCTCCATGGTCACATCTCATAGGTTAGAACGCAACACACAAATGCCTATAGCCTCACACGCAGGCCCCAGTAAGCCCTTCCCTTCATTTAATTTTGAGATTAGACAGGGAGATTTGGCAGTAACAGGAAGGTTTGAAGATGACATTAAAGAAGATGGGCACTGTTGGTGATGAAATCTAACGTCGCGTGATGAAGGAGAAGGCTAAATTAGGTCAGATTTCATAGAATTGATAGTTCAGGTATGTTATTCATCTTCTATAAGAGTAGAGAGCAAGGTAAAGTTCGGGGGGATGGTTTGAGCTTTGAGAGCGCGAGAGAGATTTCTTAGAGTAGAGACTGAGTTTAGAAAGAGTAATTGAGTTTTAGGAAAGGGAATGGAAAGATTGTAAGAGGCACATAGAGAACAAGACTGAAGAAGTGGAAAAGGGAGAACTGATCAGACTAAGGTTGAAAGTGAAAGTGACATCCATCTTGGTAACATATTTGAGATTAACTTTCATGCTTTAAATTTGGGTTCTGATTTCAAGTTTAACTTCTTGCACTACTTTGTAAAAAAATTGATTAGTTTTTGAATGCACAAAATTTAGTTGTAGGTAGGCTGAATTGAAAAATAATCCTTTTATGGTTCAAGAGATTTTTTTTCAGTCATGAATTTGATGGTTAGGAATTAGGTTATGATATATGAACTTGTTTATTCATATTTGAATGAAGATATGAATTAAAGGATTGAAACTACTGCCTTTGATGTTTATCAAAATTGCTTATTGTAGGTTGATTTCTTTAATAAGGGTATTGGGTTTATATTGCTCTATATGTTGATAGATTGTATGTGTTCATGGGCGTGTATTGAAAAAAGCAATAATGATTTGGACTTAAGCATTCAAAGTTTCTAATCTGCTTGTTCTATAGTTTAGGTATCTTGGATATTCATCATTAAAGATCTCTTGAGTACTTATGTGTTACTATGATGAGTTTAGATTATTAATATTTGGTGTCTCTTTGATATTGCTATTCTTGACTGCCAAAATATGTAATTAGTATGGTTGTTGATTGTTGTCCTCTATGTAGTTCAAGTGAGGTTGCTGAAATCAATATTTCTTTCAAACTTTAAATATATTATCCATTCTGGACACATTTAAAGAAAAAAACACAATCTCTAAGTTATAACTCTCTTTGCTATACCAATTAGCTTGATTTGGTTGTGAGCATATTTTTTGTGTCTCAAGCAATGAGAAATTTCCTATGATTGTAAGTTAGATTTTAGATGCATTTTTAGCGTGAAAGAATGTGTGGACTAAGCTAGTTTTCTGATATTATTTTGCTGATAAAGATGAGGCATCAATTTGATTTTAATCATTTTTGGAGAAAAATTAGTACTATTAAGGAATTATACAATGGCCACTCACGTGATTTATTGATTGTCTTCTTAACAGAAGAATTTTGCTGCTTCATTTATTTACTTTTCTTCCTTTTGAATATCACTGAAGCATCAAGCCAAATATCTAAGATCACATGGCCAAGTCAAAAGAAAAAAAACAGTCTGGTCTCTATTCAATGCTTCTATAAATTTTATATTTAAATGAATGATTCTTGAGCATGAACACAAATCTCAATTTTTAGAGTTTATTGTGTGAGATTTTAAAAATCTTCATAGACATTTAAAATGATCTCATGCCATGTAAATCAATAAGATTTTGTAAGTGTGAGAATCAATCCTATGTATTAAACATGGGTTTCAATAGTCCATTATTCAAATTAACAATTTCATTTTTATCTCTTCCCAAATATAATCAATTAAAATCATTTAAATGATATCATGAGAGATTTAAAGAATCTCCGTAGATATTCATCTTAATCGCCTCATTGTGTAGGATAATAAGTCCTTACAAATGTCGCGATTATTAATTTATAAATAAATGAATATTGTAAATAATACTATAATAAATATTTTTTAAATTATTAATTAATTAAATTAACATATTTAAATTATAACCATACTTAGATGGTTAGATCCTTTTGTCACGTAAGATTTTAAAAATCTTTGCAAACATTTATGACAATAGCATTACCGTGTGAGTTAATAAGACTCTGTAGATATAATGATTAAGATTTTTTATCATGCCATTTTGCCATGAGTGATAAAAGTCTCCATCGGCACATTGAATAAATTTTCAATATATATATATAAATGAGAAAAATATTAAGATGAAATATGTAGTAAATAATTAAGATTTCATATTGCAAGATAAAAATAAAAATTTAGTAGGAATTAAGACCAATTGTATGTCCATGAGTGACAATAAGTCTCCGTAGGCACATAGAGTCATTTATAGAAAAGATTTTAAAATTACTTTTCTATGTTGTTAAAATGAATTTTCAAAATAAGAGAAAATATATTATTTTAAAAAAACATGGTTTCTAAAATTAGTATAAAATAATGAAAATATTTTTCAAAATTTAAAATGGGAGTAAGAAAATGAAGTTAAATTATCTTTGTAAATTAAAACACACCAACCCAAATTTTAAAAAATTATTT